TCTGCCGTCTTACAACGAATGTAAATCTTAAACCATAAATCGTTTCATTTTTGTAATTTTTTACCTATTTTTTACCTTAAGAAATATATTTTATAATTCATATTCATCCATTAATGAAGTTCCTCAGATTTCAACGAGTAAATTTATGTGGTGGAATAAATTTGCAAGTTTAAAGTGAATTTCGAAAAATGAAATCCAGCACCAAGATCTCCTAATTAGCTAGAGCGCCCGTACCTCTGAGAGAAACCATCCTCTGTGATTACTACTTTTTGTTGTTTCTGCTAGATAATTTGGTGGACTAGTTCAAATTTGTTTCTTTTCGATTATCTCTTTGATTTTCCTAAAGAAAAAATAATTAAAGAATTTTTTTTTTTTATGTGTATTGAAACGGTGATATAATTTAGAATTTGAAATCCTTTGAAATGGAAATATCTCGAAAAGATGAAACGTTATTTAATGTTGTGGAATATGGGAATGCATATTATTATAACTGTCAAAATATTTAATAGTGGGAGATTTTTTTCGAATTAATAAATAGAGATTTGAAAAAAATCTCCACCTACTAACTGTTTATTGTTATAATTAATTATTGATTATAACACTAACTTTGTAATGCTTACTAGCAAGATACTTTTTTTGAAAATCCACAAGGCATTGGTACTGAATTGACACTACACTACGCTTATCAGATATCATTTACCGGCCTGCTGATCAAAATAAATATATACTTTTTTTATAAATATATTCGTGATATAGATATATAAATTGATGCAAGGAAACAAACGATAATATTTGATGGTTATAATTTCAAATATGATGCTGAGATTAAGAAATTAATTTTATAAGTACATACATAATATGTTTTTCTTCTTCTTCATTGGCACAACAGCCCCGTGGTGGGCTAAAACTTTCTGTTTATTAACAGATTACGAGACAGAAAATGATTTTTTTAATACGGAGTGAGGTGACAGCCCTTCGCTTAACAGTCATATTAAACCGGGTCTACGGTTTAAAGTGGATTCCAAATTACTACAATCATCCATGGCACATCCAGGAATCGAACCCAAACTCTGTATCACCGATCGCCACAGCGTCAATATATTATTATTACAATTTTAAAATATTACAATATTATCACATTTATTTATTACTACAATATTTTCCGAATTTTAATTCAATTTTAAATTCATATCATAAAAAGTATATATTGATTCAAATATTAATTTTCGTAATTGTCTTTTCTTTTATATCATAAGGATATAAGTGAATTTAAAGTCAGGATTACTAAATTGAAAAATTGGTTTCATTAAATTTTATCTCATAAAATATGTAGCACCGTAGGCTCCAGTTTTGCATAGAAATCATTGATTTCTTTATTTACAGTGCAAAAATATTCATCTGGAGGATATATTTTCTAATATTCCTGTGATTTTGAATAATTTAGAAATTTTCAGAAGACTTTTAAAATCGTCAAATCGATGCAAACTCTTTTAAGTGTCCAGCAAACTATTTATAGCCTGCAGAATTTTTAGAATGTGTCTGGAAAAAACAATTTCGAATATCGATTTTCATTATTACATGTTTTCTTTTTACAATGTTCTATTAAGATATCCTACCTTAAGGATTTGAATTCAATAATTTTTTGTTTTTATCGTTAAATGAACCCCTAAAATATTACTTTACTAATGTGAAAAAATTAATTTGCATTCAAATTTATCATATATAGCGTGTATCAAATATAAAACGCATACGTATAACTAGTATACCGTGTATTTTATTAGTGAGTGTGAAAAAGTGTAGCATTAGATATATCCATTTATTGTTATTGTTTTTATTTAATTGAGAGCTTCATTGGAAGTTCTTATAATTTATTGAAAATTTAAATAATGTATCAAATCTTATTGTGTTTGTAAGAAATAAGTTCTGTGGCTGTAGGTTAGCTGCGAGATTAAGCGATCATAATTATCTTTATAAGAAAATTACAGTTAAGAAAAAAAGGTGACTCAGTGCATAATATTCAAATAAGTTAGTCAGAAAAAGTCACAAATATATTTGTAGCTTTAATTCTGTATGATATCAAAGAAATATTTTGTTATGAGGCTGTAATGTAAGAAAGCTTTATTTCATTGTGTTTGTTGTTCAGAAGAGATGTAATGTGGGCAAATGACAAATTTAGAAATACACAAAAATTAAAAAATAAACTGTAAAAATCAAATAAAATCGTTGAAAATATTGTTCAATTACCACAATTAAACATTTTTAACATTAATAATCTCTTAAATGTCGTAATTTTAATAGGTGTATGCTAATATTAGAGACTGACTATACATTGAGGTGATGAAAAACGATTTAGATAGTCCGCATATACAGAGACATAAGTTAGACATAGTTATACGTCATTATTCGTGTCACAATAGATGTTTAAAACACAGTTATGCCGTTTAAAACACAGTTATGTCGTTTAAAACACATTTATGTGTTACAGATGTTTAAAACGCAGTTAGGTCGTATCGTAGAACAATTATCAAATTGTTCCGCGATACAGAATGGAAAAATAATTTAGCGTAATTTAGGATTCTTTATTCCAGAAAGTCAAATTGTAGATACCGTAACAAAATGATTCATTAAGGAAATTGATTAAAAATGATGGCTAATTTCTGTTATATGTTACAAAACACAATATTCTGTAATTCAAGCAAAAGTAAAAGTAGTTTTTCATAACGAAGACTTAATTCACTGTCATGCGCATAATTCTAATTTAATTCATACAGAGAAAATATTTCGTTAATCTTCTTCCTCAAAATATAGTAGGAATGTAATATTAGATTTTATCTTCAAAGGATTAAGTCATGTTTGGTCTATAACAACTCGACAGTTAGTGTTAAAAAACAATTCTTTGCTTAATATTTTGTTTACGTATAATTTTTGTTAATAATATAGTTAATACTTTTGTAAATTTTTTAAAATAAATTTTGTTAATAGATTTGTAATTGTTTTAAATAAATTTTGTTAATAGATTTGTAATTGTTTTAAATAAATTTTGTTAATAGATTTGTAATTGTTTTAAATAAATTTTGTTAATAGATTTGTAATTGTTTTAAGTAAATTTTGTTAATAAATTTGTAATTTTTTAAAATAAATTTTGTTAATAGATTTGTAATTGTTTTAAATAAATTTTGTTAATAAATTTGTAATTGTTTTAAATAAATTTTGTTAATAGATTTGTAATTGTTTTAAATAAATTTTGTTAATAGATTTGTAATTGTTTTAAATAAATTTTGTTAATAGATTTGTAATTTTTTTAAATAAATTTTGTTAATAAATTTGTAAATTTTTAAATAAAATTTGTTAATAGATTTTTTGTTTTAAATAAATTTTGTTAATATTTGTAATTGTTTTAAATTTTTGTTAATAGATTTGTAATTGTTTTAAATAAATTTTGTTAATAGATTTGTAATTGTTTTAAATAAATTTTGTTAATAAATTTGTAATTTTTTAAATATTAAATTTGTTAATATTTTTTTAATTTATTGTCCTTTTTATTTGTTAGTTTCATTTTAAACAATATTAAAACAATATTTAAAATTGTTTTTAAACTGAATTTCACGAATGACCTAGCAATACTCGTTCAAGTCAACTGAGAATATTAGATGTGCCTTCATACGAAGCAATGTTATAAAACACTATTGCTGCGAGGAAACATAAAAGATAGTTTTAAGTTATAACAGCCAAAGAATAATAAGAGTCTCCAGTACTCTTTGGAGTTTTGTAATAATTGCTACCTCGCAATTGCATATCGTATGGGAGAAAATCCGGTATCTGCTAAAACCAAGTAGTCCGACTAATGAAGCAAGATGCTGAACATCACAAATGCCATCGAAGCTCCTCATTTTTTGAAGCAGTGTCTGATGTCTGAAGATTAAACCGCAGGAATAATGCTCACCAGCGGCACAAGTTTTCAATGAGTCACGAGTAGGGATAATTTAATTATATAGATAACATTATTTTTTTACTGTTTGATTATTTATTTACTATCATTAGTTATCTTTATAGAAAGCTTACTATATATATATATATATATATATTACTTTGGAAAGTGTGAAACATCTAATTTGCAAGATTATTTATCAAATATTCTGTTCATATCATTTTAATTAATTTGAAATAATATTTTTTCGTATAGTAAACATTAAATTTTTTGAAGAAAATATTGTTTTTAATTCATTATTTTGATATATTTTATTTTATATATTATTTCTATATATTATTCAAGTACCATTTGAAAAAAAAAAAGGTATTTACAGATAAATATTTTGAAAAATTACTTTTGATAAGTTAATGTATAGCTTTTTCTTTTTGTTTCGGCAATTCTGAAAACTTTATAGAATTCTCGTTAAAATAAGAAAGTTAAAATTAAAATGGATTTATCAGTTAAAATTATTTACATGCAAAATGAAGAGGGCAAACATTTATATACATTGTCCCGTTAAGATACTGCTTTTCTACGATTCACTTTACTGCAACAATCCTGTATAGCCAGGCCATCTGCGTTATTTCCCTCATTATGTGGGTAGACGTCATCAATTAGGGGGGGAATTCAGTCAATAAACATAACTTAATCCGTGGGGACATAGCCATTGCCACAGATTATGATCTAGTGTAAGAAGGAACAATCTTTCCAGATTAGCCAGGGTTTAATCTAGAATGAATCGATTCAGTATGACTTTCAAATTAGTTAAAACCTAAAATGGCTGGCCAAGCCCACGAGCCATATGACTGATTGAAGGGGAAGGAAAAGCTTCTGTTGTGATGAAGCACCCGTCGGTAGAAGCCTGACTTTTGCTCCGTGACGCTCTTACAGTCATGGAGACCGGGACCAGTATGACTTTCAAAGTGGTTCCGAACCACTACAAATGATCCATGGCACCGCCGGTGACCCAAACCTGTTAAAAGCGCCAGAGCGCCAGACACTCGGCCATTCAGGTCCCAAATTTGCCAACGGCATTTCCCAGGTGGTCACCCACCCAAAACTGACCGCGCCCAATGATGCTTGACTTCGGTGATCTAACGAGAACCTAAAATGAATTCAGCATCAGTATGACCGTTGGCAAAAAAATTTGAAACCTAACGGCACGAATCGATTCAGGTATCACCCTCAAATTAGTTAAAACCTAAAATGCCCGATTCATGTATGACTTTCAAATGATCGAAAACCGGTAAAATGAATCGATTCAGTATGACTTTCAAATTAGTTAAAACCTAAAATGAATCGATTCAGTATGACTTTCAAATTAGTTAAAACCTAAAATGAATCGATTCAGTATGACTTTCAAATTAGTTAAAACCTAAAATGAATCGATTCAGTATGACTTTCAAATTAGTTAAAACCTAAAATGAATCGATTCAGTATGACTTTCAAATTAGTTAAAACCTAAACTGAATCGATTCAGTATGACTTTCAAATTAGTTAAAACCTAAAATGAATCGATTCAGTATGACTTTCAAATTAGTTAAAACCTAAAATGAATCGATCCAGTATGACTTTCAAATTAGTTAAAACCTAAAATGAATCGATTCAGTATGACTTTCAAATTAGTTAAAACCTAAAATGAATCGATTCAGTATGACTTTCAAATTAGTTAAAACCTAAAATGAATCGATTCAGTATGACTTTCAAATTAGTTAAAACCTAAAATGAATCGATTCAGTATGACTTTCAAATTAGTTAAAACCTAAAATGAATCGATTCAGCATGACTTTCAAATTAGTTAAAACTTAAACTGAATCGATTCAATATGGTTTTGACATTGGTGGACCAATAAACAGCAAGGCGAGGTTCTAGAAATGACATTATGTTTACATAAACCATTTTCTTTCTCATGGTAATAATATGTAAAAGGAAATGGATTAAAAAATATCCGATGAATGAAGACATGGCCTTTATTGAAAGTACAAGTCACACTCTTTTATTCTGTTATTATTATGTGTGATAATAATGAGAGAAAAAATAATTTAATTATGTAGTACAAAGTCTGACCTAAGAAAAAGTTAAAATTTTATGTTTTTTTTTTTTTCTTATCCCACTTGATAGACAGCAACATCTAGACCAAGTCCAAAACCCGTGTAGTGACATGGAAGGAGGGAAAGGGGAGAAGCTTCTTTGTGATGGAGGACCTGTAGGTAGAAGTCTGACTTGGCTCCGTGACGCTGAGGGCAGTGGAGGGTTTTAGGGGGAACTAACACGAATATACATGGGAGAAACGAGAAACTGCAGGAAAATCTCATAAGGCAGTCCGACTACTGAGGCAAGATGCTGAATATTACAAATGCCATCGAGTCTCCTTTTTTTTTTTTAAATGTGTCTACAGAAAAGCCGCCAGTGAATGGAACCTCTGCCTTAATACTCACCATCGTCGCGTCGGCACTTAGTCGTTAGATGGGCTATGTAAAATCTTTCAAAATTTAAGAAAATAATAGAAACTTTTTAATTGATAACAAGTTTTTAAAATTATGAATTTCGTAATTACAGAAAAGAGGAAAATTTAACAAAAGGCAAAATAATCATTTTAATTAAATTTAATAAATACACTTACAATAAGTTTTTTATACCTCGTTTCTTTAGTATATGTTATCAAATATACGTTTATACTACTGCAAAAATATCGTTGAAAGAATACAAAGAAGAGTGACAACATTATTTAATACATATTATTCTGCATTAATTACGAACCATTTTTGTTACTCATGTTTTTTTTTATTATTAATTAAGTCTTTATTTATACTGTATCTTCAATTCTCCAATGATATTGTATTTATAATGCGAACAGTGAACAGATAAGCAGCAAATATAAATTATCTATCAATAAACAATATATCTTTTCAAGGTAATAATTTAAAAAAGTGATGCATAAATGGCTGTGATCAACTCATGATAGATTTTAATGATAAACATTGAACCTTATGTCATTAAAATTAGTTTATTGGTCATAAAGAATTATTAGTGTAGTGTTTTCCATTTATGAGCATTCAATCAAAAGGAACTTTCTTTAAACACTTATTATTTACGAGAAAAAATCAATCACAAATGTTTCAAAACAATACAAATTTGAAAATAAGCTATTTATGAATATACATAAAGTTTATTAGGATTATAAATGCATATTTCAGATAAATAGATAATGACATAGATATTAAGGTTATATATAAGCTGTAAAAATAAAAATTTCGACGTCACTTCCAAAGGGAATTTGTCAATTTCAATTTTGACATCTCGTTTTATCTCTAAACAGTGCATACTGTGTTGTCTGTTATGAAATATGTAGACAGATAGCAGAGTACATTTTTAAAGATAAATTTTATTTTAGGACAAAAATAAAATTAAGCACGATATTTACAAAAAAAATTCCAAGACTAATTATATCAGCTACATTTTCCTTGACATGGTTCCCCCCAAAGTCATTTGTTTGATGCAAACAAACGTTTTCTAGAAATTCATTACGTACATTCATCCTATTATATCTAAATGTGGAAGATTATCTGAGTTATTTGCTTGACTTATGATTCTATTTTATTCCTCTTGTGTATGAAAATGAACTTATAGTCAATATATATGTTTGACAATTGTATAAATAAAATATTCATTCTTACCAAAATTTGTAGCAAGATATTTTACATTGTAGGGAAAATAATGTAAAAGGTGCTTGTAATTTGAAACCAAATTATATATAATTCTGTATAATCTATATCCCTACATGTTTCAGTACTAGAACTTCATTCCTCTCTATCAATCGATTATATGAATAATATATGAATAATTATATGAATAATATATGAATAATCGATTATATGAATAATATATGAATAATATATGAATAATTATATGAATAATATATGAATAATCGATTATATGAATATACAATGCACAGACTTACAGAATCATAAATTCTCCTCAATTGTTTCCATGCACGAATACTTGCAATCTTAAAGAAAAGTAAAAATAATAAATTTAAAAGAGTACTACTCTTTTAATATTACTCTACTAAGAGTACTACTATTTTAAGTATTACTCTTTTTTATGAAAACTAATTTGTAATCAATAAATGTGTTTGACAAAAGTATAAATAAAGTATTCATTCTTAACAAAATTCAAAGTAAAATATTTTTCTTTGGAGTAGAAATACTGTGATTGGTATTTAGAATTTTAAAAAAATGATATATCTATGTACTATCAATACCCCTATATATTAAAGTACTAGAACATCATTCCTCTCTATCATACGATTATATGAACTTTGCAGTGACGTCATGATATCATATACAATGAGTAAACTTATAGATTCCCTAATTCACTTCAATTGTCCCCATACACGACTTCTTGAAATCACCGTCGTTATGTTAAAAGACAGTTGGCACAAATCTATTCCAAGTATCTATCACGTCATTTTTAAGATTCAGCGATCTATTTACATAGCGTAATCTATCATACCCTCATCCTCTACATAGATCCTGCCTGCACAACAAAGATGTCGTCGTAAGTAATTGAACTGCCCGTATTACCCGTCGAAACATCTATGAATAATGAATTGACACGCGGCTTCCTTGTGGATGGGTTTGCAATAAAACGAACCGACCGGTTACTCTATAATTGGCAGTTAACTTGGAGATATATCGCCAGCAGTGCACTTCCGAACGCTAGGGGACGAAGTGGCTATTAAACTAATGTGTTTACGCGTAACTCTACACAGCTTCAGATTGCCGTCTGACACATGAGTTGATTAACTAACGTTTTCCGTCTCGCCAGAAAGCCTGAAGATAAATATTGACTAATACACTATCTGTACGATATCTCGATCAAGCTAACAGAACACAGTGCTTCAGATTTGAATTCAGATAATTGCATTTCTTATATAAGAAAGAGATATTTTTTGATAACAAAAGGACTTTTTATTCACAAATAAAAAGAATCGCAATAGTATATATGATAAATTAAAACCAAACTGGCTCATAATATTCTTTTTAATGGTAATACTTAAAGGAATATAACGATCAAAATATATAATGGCGTGTCTTTTTAAGTTTGGTTTTACATTTCGCTTCCCTATTTTCATTTAAACTCGATAGGATTGCTGTAAATATTACAGAAATTTGGCGCTCTTTATTCCATTACTATCTAATAATATTCTTGTACAATAATATTAGGATAAATATGTCTATAAATACAAAGATTCTTTCATTTAACTATATTAAAAGTATTCATTTCAAGTCGTAAATAGCCATAATGATGAGCTCGTTTTTCTTCCTCTCGTTGCAATCTCAACTAAAAAAACAAACCTGAAAGACTTAAGCTGTGATCAAGCCACTAGCACTTATTTGGTAGGTCGTAAATCTTTGAAGCCAGACACAAAATCGAGCTAGTCTTAATGACTTTTCTCCAAATACAATTTACAAAATTGAAGAGCACAGGAGTTTCCAATACCAGATGGAACCTGTTAGTTCTTTGATAGTTAAGGGTGGACTCAAATTTAGTGCTAGTTAGCTGGCGCGATACTAATTGCCATGTAAAAAATAAATAGATAAGGCTTTTTATAAAGGAGTTTTCGGTTTAATTAATATAATTTCTTAATCTAAAAAACACTGTGTATGCTTATGTGTGCCATGAACAATCCACATACAGTGGGATGTTGCCATCCAGGAACATTTTTAGGGATATTTACAACATTTCTACTTTGTAAAAAAGAAAGCACATTAAACGCTCCCTAGATAGCCTGGCTAATATGAAGCTATTTACACATATTAACTCTTTGTTTCAGAAAGCAATGATTGCATTGGATTGTGCTAGCAGATTCCAACCTGAGTTATCTTGCAAACTAGTTATGCATGTTATGATTCGACAAAGAAACGAATATGATGGATCATTAAAAGAATACAAAAAAATTTAAAAAAGTCGCATGCTTATTTTTTATTGTTGTTGCTGTTACCTATGGTTTAGGGCAACTCAATCCATACAAATTTGGCCCTTTTCAGTAGAAACAAAATGAACATATCAACAAATCATAACTACAAAGGGAAAGACAGACATAAGACCAAACATTATTAACAAAAACAA